TTGGATGCCATATACAAAATATCTGACTCAGTGACAACGGTGAGAGATATTTCCTCACTTCTCTGATGCTCAGTCAGTGCAGCCTGTCTAGAGTTTGTTGCACACAAATATATAAGAAACACGAAAGCTCTGTGGTTTCCGCAAGTTTTCTTCTGGTTTCGGGAGAAAATGAAATTGGTTGGTTTACCCAGCTGATTGTACGTCAGATGGTCCATTCGATTGTAAGGCGACCGGTGGGTGCATTTAGAACGAAGGCAAAGATGCGGGAAAAGCAGCTGAAGCGAAGGGAGCTCAAGAAGCTTTCCCCTCCTTTCTCTTCTTTACCTAATTCCACAGAAACTTCAGATATGTTTTAAAGTGCTTAGAATTTGAACTGTCATTTGGTGCGGGTATTTCTGAGTTAGCATGTTACAGAGTGGTCATTGGTTCTGTTCCCAGCGAAGATCAAGGTTTTTTGCTGGTAAAGCTTCAGAATTTCCATTTGTCTTTGTATATCCCTGAGGCTAGAAGTTACTTTCTGCTATTTTTGAAAGTCACTCGGTGTCTTCCAGCAGTTAAGAGATAATCGGTGTCCGTGCTTTCAAAATTTCAAATGGATTGCCTGAATACCTTCGGCCATCAAGAACTTTTTCAGAAGTTAGTGCTTTCTGATGAAAAGTTTGAGGCTTTTCTTCAAGTTCTTGGGGTTCAGTTGATGCAAAAAGAGGGTTTGCAGGAAAAAAGTGAGGTTTTGAGTGGGGATGTTTTTTGAAAAGGGAATTTTGAAACCAAAAGAAGTTTTTTGTTTGTCTTACTGCTTGACGTAGTTTCGCATGCCAGTGTACGACCAAGTTGCGCTGGAACATCGGCTAGGAAACTGGCAGTAAGATAAGCTCCGTCACTGTCGTTTTTAATTTCAAAGCCTTCCTTGATGTATGCGTCTCCTATTTTAACGCGCATCCTGTCAATTTAGGCGGACCGGGTAAAGTTGTCTAGATTGAGGAGATAGTTTTGGCTTGCAGAAAAAATAATAGAGGGAGGCTTGTTCCGCGTTAGTGGTATTTTGGAGGGATCGAGAGGGGAGCAATAATTGCTTTATTGTTGCAGTTGAGCACAGGAATGCTGCTGCTTGTGTGACGCTTTTCCGACAGTATTAACTGCTTTTGCGCTTTCATATCAGCGGCACTACTATTATGCTAGATAAGTGGACAGCTTATAACGGCATTCAAGACCTGCCTGAAGGATATCAGTATCTTACGGTAAATCACAAGTTGCACCTCAGTGATCCTCTCAGTAGTGTCAAACGCCACTGAGCTATTCCAACAAAAATACAAAGAGGGGCGTTAGGGGCGGTGTGGGACCTTACGAACTTTTCTGTACAGCTAACTGGCGCAGTTTATGTGGAAGAAGGTGTTTAAGAGGGACCCGTTTTACCATTTATGCTTCCAAATTTCTGAGTTTTATCCCGCTTCAGCTCTTTCTTAGGAAACATAGGTTCTGAGAAAGCTCTTTGATTGCCAATGCACTTTTCAGTAAAGTCTAATTTTTGGAAAGTCTCAATGAAGGGAGCTATCGCAAAAATTGAGCTGCTTTTGTGCTTTCAAAGCACACACCAGCAGCTCTCGGAGAGCTGCAGGTTGGGCAAAATAATTGGTTTGGCCCAGCAGTACACAATTGTCCTGATCCAACTCCCACTCTCCCCCAGCACGCAGAGAAATATTTATCTTTATAATTCCAGTTATGTTATTTATGCATCACATTCTTTACTAGTTTGACAGTGTACAGCAACCTACACGCACTCTTCCTACTTCTTCATGAAATGCAGTCGGCAGCTTCTGTGCCATTGTAGCTTCCCGCGCAAACTTGTCGACACTTGAGCAGTCACATTTATAAAAGCAATTGCTTAGTTGATCAGGTTTAGTCATGCCGCATGTCAGCAAGCAGAGTAGCTGAATATTGCTTGGCTGCTGCGAAGTCATGCAGGGTGCTACTTGCTAGCACCTTGCTTGAACTGATGGTTATGGTTTTCGAAGAAATTCTGCCCACCAGGGCGGAGAAAGAAAGTGGGGTCACCAGTCTAAATGAGCTCTAATTTAACCGTATTTAACGGTTTGTAACGGTATTATTGGATTTTTGTGGGAGTTTTTATGTTGAGACTGATGTAGCTGTTAAAGTTACTTTTTTTTAAACCAATGTTTTTTTGTATTGTAAGTACTGGAATTTTGTGAGATTGATTCAGATGCTGATGGAAGAAGCTTTGTGAGGTCAACTTACGTCGATTTACCTCTATGGTTTTGCCGACAGTTATATGGATTTTGGCAAGGATTACCTGTTAAGAACGCTTGTGAAGGTCTTAGTTCAATTTGTTTCCTATTAATGATGTTTATTCATTATAGTTTGTCGTGAGCATAGACGAAATTGGTTAAATGTCTTGTAGCACATTCTTGTTTGTAGTGGATTTCCTTGACTTACTTTTCAGAACTGTTATTTAGGAATTTTGATTTTGGGTAGTTTATTGGATTTTAAAAATTTTTTAATGGTTTTAAGGTGATTTACGCCACATTTGGCAGGTGTTTTGGGTGGTGTCAAAGCAGTAGGAACTTGGGGAGGCCGAAAAAAAACATTAACTGTTGCAATTTTTGGATTGGAGTTGAGAGGGTTGAGTGTATCAAAAGGAGGAGTGGACGTGTAGTTAAAACTTTAAAATTATGGAAGGACGATTGGAGGTAAAACAGGTTGAATGCGCCAATGATTTCAGGCGAGGGGTTTAAATGTAGCGATTTTGATTTGGCATTTCCATCTGTGTATCCGACAGGTGTCTCACAAGCTGTTAATGATAACGAGATTGTTTCAAGTCTTAAATGCATAAACTTAAATTTAGATAACAAAGAATATGGCAAGGTAAATTTATTTCCCGCAAACTTATGTGACTTTATCTTGCACATATTAAACCTGGTCATTTATTTCTTATGCTTTTTTGAAATGCCGCTTACAGGTACCTCTTGCGAAGCTTACAACGGCTCAGAAGTTACAGTTGAATCACCTTTGTGAAACCTACCCAACTATTGCCCGAGATCGGATTGAAGAATGTTATCGTGACACAAAGTTTGTTTCTCAGTAATATTTTTTTGGTTTGGAGGAAGTCTCAGTTACTCAATTTCCGGTTGTTTTAATATTAATGTAGTGTTTTTAAAATTTAACTTTTTACTTTATCGCACTACAACCTGGTTTGTTTAGCAAAGTATCAAGAACAAGAGGATTGTTTTGTAAATCCCACTTAGCTTTAATTTGAAAAAAGTTTTTTTTTTAGTTTCTCTATGGAAGCAGTTAAATATACACTAAATATGTTTTTGGGTGAAGAAGACGTCCCAGACAACAAGTCGGCAAGGACTGTCTATGAATTCGAAACGGTTTTAAACATTTGTTTTATAAGCGAATACACTCATATTTTGTAGTTGTTTAAAGTTGCCGGTAGTTAGAAAGTTTTGAAATAGATTCCCGGAACTTCGATTATCTCAAAAGCCGTTTTACGAATGGCTGATTTGCAGACTAACCAGCCAAGCTTGGAATATGCGCAATCCGAAGCTGATAGGATTCAAAATGAGATTGATTACTGCGTTCAGCAGAGGAATGTGCTTTTTAAGAAAGCTGAAGATTCAAAAGTTGTGGGGGCAAAACAGTTGTATTTATCAGATGTTTGTTTCTTCTTGGTTAAAGCTGTCAATACTTTTTCCTTATTTGATGGATTCGTTTTCTACGCTCGTTAATATTTCTGCTTGCATAATAGTGCATTTAATTCAGGCACAACATTACGACAGACGTATGAAGTGTTTGATAAAAGAAAAAAATGAAATAATTTCCCGAGCAAACAGCTCCAGGAACTTTGTTGACCTTCATCATATGAGTGTTCAAGCTGCCATAAAGTTGTTGAAAGAGAAGCTAAACTGTTTAGATAGTATGTAAATCTGGTGATAATTATTGCTTTTTTTAACTTTTTTTTGCGGCATTCATGGTGTGGGTTTAAATCTTTAGGGCCCCCTAATTTGAGGAACGGTCGTTCAGATAGAAAGCTGACGGTTATCACTGGATATGGAAAATCATCGGTCGGACCAATTAAGTTGAAACCGGCTGTTTTACAGTGGTTGAAGCAGTTTCATTACGAGTTGGTGATACATCTTTTTTGCTTAAGGAAAACCGCAAATAGTCTAAAAAATGCTTTTTTTTGACATTTTTTTAACACTAATTTTTTGGTTCTGATTTTCGTTATTTATTAGCTGTTTTCATTTGTTTGAGAAAAGAATCAGCTCAAAGTCTGAAGAATTTGAAGACGGCGTAATGGTACTATTTTACAGCTTTTACCTCAATAACCCTGGTGAGATTGTTGTTACTGCTAAATGAGCCTGCAGTTATAAGGACGTATTCCTGCCTCTGACTGATACGTTAGATCTCACTCCTTGTTCACGCTGATGATCCTATTTCCCTCATTTTCCTTGAATTTGTTAGTAGCATATAATACAGTACTTTCAGAGTTTGCAAAATTTCTCCATCACGTAGCATTGTTAACAGATTAAAGAAGTGATTTCTTCCTAAGTTGGCTTTGCTTCAAATGTATATTTTTCACATTTAGCATGTTCAGCAAAAGCCTTCTTTGTAGATACTGCCTTCCATTTGTTGAATTTGTTGAATTTTTTCTGGCCAACGAATTAGTTTTGTTAGTTTTGTTTTCCATGTTTCTCTACCTCGTTATTCCTTTTTCTCCTTTGTACATATCGATGAGTAATACAGTTTGTTCTCACTCAGGGCTTTTCCAAACTTTTTGCAGCTAATTTAGATTCTGTAGTGAATTTGAGGATGTATTTGTATTGTATCATTTGAACTTGAGGCTTCATGGGTACTTTTCTAATTTTTGCATTTGTAATTTTTTTGAGGCTGAAATTATGAATGATATTTTTTTCTTGAATAAAACCTTAAAACCTTCTAATTTGTTACATATTGGACATTTCAATGGGAATAATAAGTTTTTGTATTCTTGCTGAATCGATACCAGTTTAAAAATTCCAATTAGAAGGAAGGAAAATTAAGATGAAAATTCGTAGACAAATTGGTTTGGTAGCAGAAAAATATCCAGAAAATCAAAGAGAAAACTTATAGATGTGAAAAATGGATCTCCATTGTCTGGGTCTACTGGAACGGTGGAACGTTAGCTGCGAAGTTTTTTGTTTTGGGTTCTAGTCCTTTAGTGATCCTTCCTCTCTCCTTGCATTATCTAGTTGTGAATGTGAATATTTTTCTGCATTTGGATGTTGTCGTTGAGAATTTCAAAATATATGGCGTCAGAAAACTGAAAAACATTCTGTTTTGTTTAGATTCTTAAAACTTTACCGACAGTGATTAGGAAACTCTAAAACGTGGAAAACGGAAATCAATTCAGTTTCCTGATGCAGTACTCCATTAAAAATACGAAAAGGCATACTGCAAAAAGATTCAAAAATTAATGGAAAGCAAGAAAAGTTTTATAAAAGGTTGGTGCTCAGTGAGTAATAATAGTTACATTTTCCTGCGGTGTAGTCATCCTTTTCTGCTTTTACCTTAGACCTTGTTTTGTATGCTTAATGAAGGACAGTGTTACAGTTTCTCTGCAATTTTAGTGATTAAACTACCTGCTGTATTACATTTATGAAGACTGTGAAAAATGTGGATGTATCTGCGTAAGAAATTTAACTGAGAGAGAAAGCTGCAATTATATACATAACAGTGTAATTGATTACACTTTTCTGAACAAGAACCCGCTCTCAAGTCTTCTGCTAACCACTCATTTAAAATGTTTAAGTACAGTTTTCAAAAGCAAGATGACAGGACCACTTTTTATTAACAGCGACCATTCAGGTTTTTAATAAAATTTTTATTTGTGTTGATATCCCAACATGAGTTTTAGTTTTATCATGTACTACTCTGTTTGATTCAATGGCTTCTTTTCTTAATTGACAAGAATAGCAAAATGCAGAGAAAAATTTGCAAATTTTTTTTAAATAGTAATGTAAGCCCATGAACGCTTTTTGCTCACATAATAGACTGTACAGGGATAACACTCGTTCAATGTCAAATGGCTGTATTAAGAAAAGAAATTCAATTGAACGGATTTTGGTTTGAAACCAACAAGTAGCATTAAAGGTGGTCGGGTTCGGAAAGATGTTTTGAAACTTCAAAACTACCTGCATTGAAGGTTGCTGGGGGGCACAGCCTTTACTCAAATTCCTTTTAATCCGCCAATCTTAATCATACTATGTAAAAAGCTATCTTATTTGACAGCTGGCACAACTAATGTTATTGTTTTGGGAATCGAAAGTATTGGTGTTAGTCATTTTCATTTTATACATTAAGCGCTTCACGAGATACTTTGAATGGATTTTTGCATTGAAAGACGATCTTTAATGTTTACTGTCTCAAACGGAAATACTCTGTTAGCTGAAAAGTTGGTTCCGAACTTACCTAGATTACTAGGGAGAAATTGCGAATACTTTTAGAAAACGACTAAGGTCTCTTTGACAAAACCCTCTTCCAAAATGAATTCACAAAAACTCCAGTAGCCATGACTTCTGAACCAACTACTTATTTAAGGACAACGTTCAGATTTTTGAGGTAATGAATAAAATTGTTGGTAGATTTGAATGCAGTTCAAATGCTGTTTTTTCTTCTCAAACTTTTTTTTTTTTGCTCGTCAGAATAGCAGGAGACGAGGTATTCTAATTTTTAATCCAATTTGTAAAGAACTCATTCTGAAACAGTATTTGCACCATTATTTAGAATTTGAACTTCCACTAATTATTTGTTTTTCTTCAGTGGAAAGCTAAAGATGCTGATAAAAGGCCCTCTGCTCCAGTGATAAATGTGCTGACTGATAATGAACCGATAAAAAAAACACTGACATCGCACTGATATCGTGAAACACTTTAAGAACTTGATCAAGTTTCTTCTATCCACCGTAGTCTATTTTCTCCCACCATGTAATTTCTTAAAACCCCCAGAACTCTACAGTTTTCTTCTACATTTTGAAAACTAAAATTACTGCTTTAGCTAGAAGTGCTATTCTTGCAAAGAGTAAGAAGCTTTTTACAGTACTGCAGGTGATAAATGAGCTCGAAGCGGCTAAGTAAAAGGCAGTTTGAATAAACTTGAATAAACTTATGATGTATATCTACTGGTAGAACGAAAGGCGTTGTGGAAACAAATGTATAGGCAATAGACGATCTTACACCGTTTACCATTCAAAGATGCTTCTTATCCAAAATCTTAGTATTTTCGCTGGAGTAAAGTCATATTCTGTCCATTTTGCTCAAGGTGTTATACGGTTTTCAAAAAATGTAGCCTAGCTGTCTAATTTAGTTTCAAATGTTTTTAAAAATCTATTTTTGCAAAAGGCCTTTAAGAATATTGAAAACAAAAAGTAACAACAGTTGCCGACTAACCAAGTATTGGAGCACCTCTAACCCTGCAACATTGCAAAAAACTTACAAAAATAGTTTACTACGCTAGAAAACAGTTAGAAATGCAATCTCAGAAGAGCTGAAGACAGTATCCGAAAGTAGGGTTAAGTTTTTTACGTATGGTATGAAAGTCAAAATTCAGAAGAGAGTTACTGTAGTATGCGTTAAGGTAGTTAACGATAGAACAGTGGTGAAATGTAAGGAAACACTAAAAATCTAAAGTTCCAACTGGTTAAAGTTCAAAACATTAAAGGAGGGGGGAGAAGCAGAGTTACAACGGCAGCACCATTTACTCTTCCAAAGATAGCATTTTTAGACAACAACTGATATTAACATACAAAAGAGTGGCATAAAAAGCGCATAGTGACATCCAAGTCAGAGCATTTACCCAGAAGTTTAACGAATTTCCTTGACGGTTACTTCGGTTCTTTAAGTTTTTGAAAAATACTGTGAAAATCATAGAAATTAGGAGACTCAATCTCTGCATAAAACTGTGGTTTACGTGACGGAAAAACACCGAAATTTATGGTAGAAAAAGTCATGCTCATTCGTTCTGTAGTTCCGTAACTTAATGAAAACTGAAATGTATAACGTACTACCGTGAACAATTTTGAATCAGGATCAAGCCTGCCCGCATCGGTTGCCACTCCCCAAAAAAAAAAGCCGGACTTCAACGGCCCACAACAACCCAGTTGGGAGCAGTCACTTGGTAGCATTTCAAATTTACATGGTTTTCGCTGCGAGAATCATGGAGGGAAGTTGTAATGTCTGGAAGCCGGTGTTAAAATCGTCAGGCGTATTTTTTAGTGTGCGGCATTTCGTGCTGATGCTGAGGCCCTGGGTTACAGACTTCTCCGTATTCCGCTAGTTTCCTTTAATGTCTTTTGATGGTATGCGATTCTGAGCATCTCTGAAGAAGTGGTATTTTCCAGAACACGGCTCGCACTCACTCTTTGAAGTACAATCGTCATTCCACAGTTCTTTTAACCTTCCTCGACGATCCTTATGGCTTAACTGTTGGCTTGGATTTATATGCTTTGTTCCTCTGCGGTTATAGTAGTTACCGTACTAAAGACGAATACTTTAGATAAAGGGAAGACTTACAAGTTATAAATTGCTGCCCATTATAATGGAAAATCTAGATTAGCGCTGTCAGAATGATTGGGAGAATATGGTGAAGCAACTAAGCGTCGCTTTTAGAGGAGTTTTTTATTTTTAAATTTTCTTTTAAATACTTGTTTTTGTAGTGTGGCAGGACTAAATATGACTTTTATTGTTTTTGATTGTTGATGGGAGGCATTGTGCCAAAGCCGGTGTAACTTCTTCAAAATAAAGGATTTTCGCTCCCAAAAAACTTTACCTCAAATTAGAAATGAGTTCCCCTCACATGTTCTTTCTTCTTTCCTTTTTGAACCTGAAAGTTTAGTTAGAATCGCGCATGATAACTCTGCTTGATCTGCTGTTACTTACCCCGGTTACTGTGACCATTTTTACAGTAAATAGTTTACCGTTATTGAAAGGTAATCCGATGGCGTTTGCTCAGTATGACACTGGGCTCAAGATGATCAGAAGTACAAGCCTTTGAGCCAGGTTTGTGCAGTTCCGTAGAGTGAATGAAGTCTGTCTCCCCCAACGTTACTTTTATGTTTTGGACTGTCTTCACTGGTCTTTTTCCATCGTCAGAATTGTAAAGATGGCTGCTTTGAGATTTCAAGAAGTAAAATCATTTAAAAAAGCAGAGGTTATGTATTTTCCGTTTTTGATAGGACGGATAATTTAAAACAGCGAATATTTCTAAAATTCTATTGATAAAGTCTTATTTCAATATTTGAATTCTAACATTTTTAGGATTTAGCTTTGAGACAAGGAAGGGTGCTCGTTTTTTTTTGCCGACTTTATCATCTGCTTTCTAGTGAAAAAATAACAGTTGCTGTCTGCTTTTTTTTATTGGTTTTTGCATTTTAAAAATTATTTATTTCTGATCTAGTTACTACTGTCTGAAAAGCAGGACCTTCTTCTAAAAATGGATACATGAAATATACATAAACAATAATATAACAGAACACATTCTAAATGTTTAACGACTAATGCAATTAATCCTAACAAGAAACCAAAGCTGTAGAAAAGAAACAGTGAGAAAATACCGGGCATTACAATACCTAAATTTTAAAAACTTGGCAGGTTTTTACCTTTTTTGTAAAAAGCAGAATTTCCACTTATTTAATCCACATTTGCCAAACTCGAAAAATGATCAGGGCTACTCATTATTTGAGTAAAGAAAGGTTGAGCGAAAAGAAATAAAGCAAATCATTTAGTTAAGTGACTGATCATTTATCATACAGACATTTGACTGGAACAACTTTGACCTTTTTCCCACCCAGTATCTTTCTAAATTCCTTTAGGGTTGGAACTGGAACTGCATCACTTAGGAAGCTATTCCAAATTTTACTGATATGATTTGTAAAGAACTTGTCTTGAATACTAGTTTTAGATGCCTGAGTTTCAGCTGTGAGACAATTTTTTCCCGAATTATAACCCTTACTTGACAGGGTAAAAAGGTCGGATAACGCAGCTAACGTACAGTCAAAACTATCCACTGTGCGTGAAAACTGAGCGAACTCTCTAATAGATGAAACTCGGTAGTATGAAGGTTTATTTTATGGAGTTTTTTTCGGTATCTTAGGCAATTATTAGTTTAAAGGTGTTTCTGAAGGAAGGAGTTCGGGAGTATCTGTTATAGTTTACCGGAGGAAATGATTTGTGAAAGTACTTTCATTGTTTGGAGTACCCATTATAAATGGAGCTCTAAAAGTGAAAAATTAAGAGGAGACAATTCAAGTCTGATGTGAAGAAGACTAAGGTGCTTTTGGGGAGTGGTGAGGAGTAAACTTTTACAATTTGCATGCTTTTGATGTTTACCCAGTTTTATTTATTCTTTATCTTTGTAAGCCTGAAAATGATAGCAGATCATAATAATATTGTGTCTTCTTGGGATATCTAATTGATCTTTAAAATAAATAGTTCAATTTTCTTATTTTGGCAAGTGGTTGGCATGGCGTTAAAAATTGACTTGTTTTACAGTTTGCATTCTGCTTTTATCAAAATTTTATTTTGTCAGGATGAGGAGATCTGCTGAATGTGAGGTATGAATGTTCTAACTGGTATGGTAAAACCGTAACCGCGTTGTTTTCTAATGTCAGTATCTTAAGTCATAAAGTAATTGCTGAGTTGATGAGCACGTGATATGTCTATTTGAAGTTATAGATTATATGTTTATTGGGTAATTTTGCTACACTTATTAAGAGTGTCATTTAATTAGGCTCAGTGTTATTTAAGGTTTATTGTCTGGTCTTATCTATAGTACCTGGTTTTTTTTTTTATTACACCAAGTTTTTTATTTGCCGATTATGTTATGGAGGTGACGTTTGAAAATGAAGTTCCTCCAATTTGTGTTGCTGCTCATCCGAAGTTGCCCAATCATCTAGCACTTGGTTTTATTGACGGCAACATTGGTATTTACACTCTGAACTTGTTGAAAGGCCAGTTGAATGTAAGTTATTTCTAATACATAATTTCAACAATATATGGCAGAAGCTTGAACTGCAGTTTTTTACCTTAAAACCTTTTAGGTCGTTGGTGGAAGTAAACTGAAACAAGCTGTTCGTAACATCGCTTTTAGCAGTGATGGTTTATTTATGTTCTCTGTGGGCGAAAATAGGTCTTTATGTGCGTATGACGTTGTAAACATGAAAAGGTAAATTTAAAATTTGATCTTTACATTGATTTTTATTGTTTCAGCTAGTGCATTTAATGTGAAAAGAATTTTTAGGATTAGGCGCTTCATTAATTTTTTTTTTGGGAGGTGGGAAAAATCTACTCAATTTTATAGAATTCGATGTATTGGACAGTCGCACAAAGCAAAACCTGTTTCATTGTCGTATCTTCCTTCGACTTCTAGCAAAGGACAGCAGATCAGCACAGGGTCTGAAAGTGGCGAGGTTTGTTGCTGTGCCCTGCAAAATTTTTAGAGCTGGAACCGAAAGAATGCAGAAATGATAGCTTATTTTTTAATATGCATTTCTGCATCTTTTACATTTAGATACGGACTTGGGACTTGCGGTCTGAAAATCCATTAGTAAGCACTTATCATGACCAGGAAGAAAACATCAATGGATTTGGACTTTATAAATCTCTTCTTCTTGCTGCTAGTACTGACGGAACGCTTGGTGCTTATGAGCTTAGAAAGCGAAAGTTGTTAGTTAGGTCGGAACCGTTACACAATGAACTCTTCTGTGTAGAAGTTGGTGATAAGTGAGTTTTTCTCTAGTTTTCGTATATTTTAAGGTTAATAGCTTCTGAAAACCTGTCTTTGGAGGCGGAGGGCGGTTCAAGACGTATATGGAACAATTACTTTATTAAATTTTGAGATATACCTACGTTGGAAGCGGAGATGGTTATTTGGAAGTGTTTAACAACGGGGAATACGGCAATATCTTAGAACGGATAACATGCAAAAAAGGCAAAGGAGTTGACTGTATGAAGATCTTAAAAACTAATTTGATTCTTACTGCTTCCTGTGAAGAGGACCAGTTGAGGTAGTGGGTCTTAATTGTGTTCTAACATTTGAATCTTTTGTATGCTGTTTTTATGTAAAGACTGTTTTATGTTATTCTTAATCATATTATTCTTAATTCACGTTTGGTCAGCTTTTTTATAGTTTGTTGATTCTGTAATTTTTTGAGTACGCAAAGCTGGATTCGTTTAAACTTTTTAGCACTAGTTATAGATGCATCTTTATCCTCTTAGTCTTCCATTAGTAATGTTAGATGATTCTGCTTTTTTAGGCTTTTCAATCTAAATCCGTATAAAAAAGTGGGTTTGTTGGGGGAACATGCAGAGGGTGTAAATGATTTTGAAGTCGCCACTGACAAAAGTTGGGCTTGTTCAGTTGGCTTTATACGTCCAACAGTAAAATTCTGGGACTTGAACTCAGTATTGTCGGTTGGTTTTTCTCTATAAGTTCCAAGATTGTAAGTGGTGAGGTGTTACTTGATCAACAGCTCTGTTTTACGTTCTAAATTTATCTAAGTCATATTTAGACCGTTTTTTTACTGCGCTTTGACTAATCTTTGGTTTAGTTGCCAATAATTCGGGCCTCTGAACTTTCAAAGAAAAATCCCAAGAAAGCTGCTTCGAAGGGCTTTTTCAATGACTTGTTTGAAGAAGGAGGCAGCGATGATGACAGTTTATCTGGCGATGACGAGGAGGAGGAGGAGGAGGA